CACATCGTCATCGTCATCATCACTGATGACGTCACCGGCATCCGCATCGTCATCGTCATCATCACTGATGACGTCACCGGCATCCGCATCGTCATCGTCATCATCACTGATGACGTTACCGACATCCTCATCGTCATCGTCATCATCACTGATGACGCCATCAGTGACGTCACTGATGTCGTCACCGGCATCTGCATCGTCATCGTCATCATCACTGATGACGTCATCAGCGACGTCACTGATGACGTCACAGACATTCGCATCGTCATCGTCATCATCACTGGTGAAGTCATCAGTGACGTCACTAATGACGTCATCGGTACCCGCATCGTCATCGTCACTGATGACGTCATCAGTGACGTCAGTGATGACATCATCGGCATTGGAAGTCACGTGACCCCCAAGGTCACGTGACCCCCCCCCCTGGTTAGTTTAACCCCCCCCGTGCCCTTCCCTCCTCCTCCTCAAGAGCTGCGCTCTAATTCGGCGTTACAGGGAGTTGTAAGCGGCTTTCATTTTTTAATAAGAGATTCATCCCCTGAGCCATTCAAAATACTCTCAGAGGTATAGGAACCGTGCGGATCTAATTCAAGCCCCGACCAGGGCGCCCCTAGCGGCAAACGGGTCCGTGGCATCGGGCATCTTCTGCCAGTCGCTGCGTTGGTTGTGCGTTGTAATGGGTTAACGCTGTAATTTCTGAGATGACTATTCCGCACCAAGAAAGCCGCAACAATCGCTGCGTGGTCGGCAAGATCGCGCACGGCACGAAGTACTACATCGTCCCTTCGAAGCCGTACGAGGCGGAGTACTGCGCGACCTGGGTACGACTTGTGCGTCCATACAGGTTAGTGGTGTTTCTTACCTTCCAGTTCGCGCTTTGTTTCAGCTGCTGACGAATAATACAATTAACTTTTTTTCTCTTCTAGCGACGATGGAACAGCATCGACACTGACGGCAAACTCTAAAGTATGCAGCAAATACTTCACCGTAATCGAGAAGCGGAATGCGGTCGCCCTCCTAAGCCTACCGTTGGATGTTTCCATCACCCTACAGGAAGACAGTAAAAAGAATCGCGGAACGGCGCGAAAAAAAATCGCCCAGTTATTGTCAAGCTGATTCAGAAATAAACGTACTTAATTACCGCAGTCCACTCAACGCCAACAAAAGTTTTTTTGCGGGCGCGCTTAATTTTGTTTGCAGAGTACGGCGCTCCGTGGCATCCACTTTTCCGTCGAAACGGACCTCCTTCACGCACACGCGGCCAGATTCATGAAACAGTTTTCTCTTCGTCATATTGGCACCACGGAAGAAGCTCTCTGGATCCGTAACCGCCTTAAACTCCGTCGTAATCACCCCGGGAGCACTGTCCGTTGTGCTGCTAATCGCCACTGCGTCCCCCCGATGATTCTGCACCGGCTGCCGAAGAAGCTTTCCGGATTCTTAGTCGCCCACTGTCCTCTGTGCTGTTCGTTGCTATTACTTCGCGATGATTATGAGCCGGCGGCACCGGCTTCCGAAGGAACTTTCCGAACTCGTAACTGCCTTAAATTCCGTCGTAATCACAACGGGGACACTGTCCGCCGTGCTGTTCGTCGCCATTGCTGCCCGATGCTCCTGCGGCGGCTACCGCCAGGTCGCGGCGAACAATAGGCGACCGCCGCGACACGGCCGGCTTGCTCGCTTCCTATGACATTGCCGGGAAAAAATCAACATGCTGGGAATATTTTTTATTGCTTAGGGTGTCACCGAAAAGTTCCGTACGTTCAAAACGACCAGTATAAAAGACGGAAACGCAGAGCATGGTGTAGTGTTCGGGTTAGTGTGGTGTTCCGTTGTATTGATATTTGTGTACGCCGTGTATGTGCTCAATGTCTGTTCACCTGATGCTTGTAATAAGCGTAATGTGTGTATAGTAGAGGATCCCCAAGTGGAGTAGTGGCCTGAGAGAAGCAAATTATTTTTTGTAAAACATGAATTGGGCGGTACCTAGCGCCACCTAGCCTAGCTACTTGCAATTACTCTGCTTGACCCCGCCATCTGGTGGCTAGCGATTTAACCTCCTTTCACGCTACGTGATAAACAGCGGCTTCGAGTTTGTTCTTTCGAGAGCGGCTTATGGTTTCGCGGATTGAGTTTGCCCTTCTCCGTGATGTGCGATGCGGTTGACGAAGGAATTGTGACTCCAGGAACACCAAAGGTAAGACGCAAAGTGCGCAAAGTAACTGGGTATCGGTTATCTCCGTTTAACATCGCAGTGCTGTCGACGAGAAGACTGAGTAACTGCTTTCGAGACGCAAGTTTTTGTACCTGTGGGGGAAATCTGGCTTCGGAAATAAACACAATTTGCGGGAAGCTCGTGTTACGCTTTTATTTGCTGCTGCTCTCGTTCCGTACAAGAGACATAGCGTCCTCGTCAAGCCTTATTGGGCTCGATTTGCTCGATTCGGGGTCGCCATATTGAGATGCAGGCGACGGAGGAACTTTGCTCCCCTGCTTCAGTGACGAAAGTTTCTCCCTTTCTAAAGGAACATAGGTTACAAGACCGTTCCTCCCCTAAGGGAGGACTATCCATACCCTTTTTTCTAAGAGTGTAGTAACTAAGGTATAATAGGCAACAACTGCTAAACATAGCTAAGCGTAAGTGCGGTTTAGCATGCCCGTCGGGCACCCTTAACGTAAGTTATAAGTCTAGCCTTAGTCACGCTTAACTGCGGTTAAGGTTTCCCCGCGTAACTAGGGTTTTAGACGCATGCGAAGAGGAAGTACCGCTCGCATACAAGCCCCATACAAGACAAGAGAGGCGAAACCTAAACCGAATACACAACCGGTAGCAGGGGTGTTCACAAAACCACAACAAAGCGCATGGCATCGGCTTTGGTATTTTTCGAGGTAGAGGGCAAGGGCAAATTTTAAGCTGTATCATCACAAGCGAGAAAACCGTTTGAGCCTCGCATCACTTCTCATTCCTGAGTGAAAAGCAGTTTTTGAAAGAAGGAGAAACAGGCGTCCTAAAGTGAAACAATCCAAAGAGAATATGTGTAAACGGGGCAGGTGATGCGCACTGTGTAATGAAACGGGAAATGGATTGTATTGGTTAAATTGATACTTCGAGGCACCTCGATAAACACGGCTATTTATTGAGAGACACAAAGAAACTTGCGTCGTGTTGTTCAAAACAAAAGGTTTGGCATGCCAAGAAAAGGCTTTGTTTTGCGCTGCTCCTTGTGAACTGAATGCCTTGTTCTGAAGGTGTGACGCAAAGCCCTCTCGCCTAACTTGGGTAAACCTTTGCTGTTGGTACCTCGACGGCCGACTTGCCTCTTGTACCAGCGGACCAGTCAAGGAGAGCTAATTTACCTTGAAAGCAAAGTGATTGGGTCATTGATGAATCGATTAAGCGATTAATTACGTAACTAATTGGTTGATTACATTATAGACTCATAAGTAGGTGTTTTATTGATTAATTGATCCATGTTTGGTTATTTAATTTATTGGTTGATTGATTTATTGGTTAATATTTGGTCGTTCCAATGAGACAGAGAGAGAGAGAAATTGGTTTAGTGGAAAGGAGAAGAGGTTATCCCGCGAAGATTGGCAGGATGGCTACTTCACACTTAGGGGAGGGAAAGAGGGGAAGTATAGATTATATAGAGAGAGAGAGAGAGAAGAAAAAAAAAGGAAAAAAATATAAAAAAGGTATGTACACATATATACATACTTATATACATTCATCTATGCACATATATACATGTATATACATACACACATGCATACACACACACACCTATGTGCATATATATACATATATATACATACATACACACATGCATATACATACATATGCATAAAGGAAAAGAAAAATCTGTCCGTTATTGTTTGTTCATGTAAAAGTATGTTCTGGGTTTAGAGTATTCGGTCCAGTTTTGTTTTCTTAAGAAAGCGGATGAAGGAGGTCGTTGATTTGACCCTTTCCGATGCGGAGTCCCATGGTCCGAGCAGGTGAGTCAGGGAAAGTGGTTCTCCGTTGGGAAGATGGAGAGAGTTTGCCAGTTCATTTCGTTGACTTGTGTATAGGCTACACTGGCACAGGACATGTTCGAGTGTGTCTGTGACGGCACAGTTCTCACAGAGAGGAGAGTCTAGCTGGCCGGTGAGGTTGAGATAGAATCCCGTTGAAGCTACGTTGAGTCGTATTCGGTGGAGCGTAGTTTCAGTCCGGCGTTTAAGGCCGCGGGGTGAACGAAAGACAAGGAAGGGGTCAATGCTGTGCAGGTGTCTGTAATAATAAAATGGATTTGCCCAGAGGGAACTTATCATAGTTTTAGCAACACAGTTGATTCTTGCCCTAGCATCTGTTCGAGAAAAGGGGACTTTTAAACCAGAATTACGTCGGTGAGCATCTTTGGCAGCTAAATCAGCACTTTCATTGCCTTGGATACCACAGTGGCTTGGAATCCATTGTAGAATCAGACTATGCCCATTTTCGATAGCCTCCTGGTGCAGTTTCAAAATTTGATGAACGAGCTGTGCGTTGATGTTCTTGTTTTTAGTGGATTTGAGGCTCTGAAGAGCTGCCCTAGAATCGGTAAAAATTGACCAATCTCGTGAGTCGCATGCAGAAATGAAGCGAAGTGCTTCTCGAATCGCTACTAATTCTGCTGCTGTTGATGATGTCGTGTGACCCAATTTTCCATGAAGTCTCTCATTGATTGATGGTATTACGAAGCTGTAACTGGAGCTTTCGTCAGTGCAGGACCCGTCGGTATAGACATGTGTTCGCGAACGGTGATGAACACTAATTATTTCCAAAGAGTGTTGCCTCAATACGGTTAGCGGAATGTGTTTTTTGGAATGTAGCCCTGGAATATGTGTCTTTATATTAATTATTGGATAGGTCCATGGAGGCGATGAAGAGAACTTTGCTGGTTCGAAATCTCGAGGAGTGTCTAAGCTGCCAGAAATAATAACTTGAGCAAATCCAGATGCACTTCTGCTATCTGCTATATCTGCAAGATAGTGATCTTTATGTCTGGTAAGATGACGAAGGTGTGTTCTAAGGGTCTCTTGCAGTCTAAGGACACCTACGGGAATAGCTCCTGCTTCAGCTACAGTTCCAACATTGGAAGTACATTTTGGGAGCCCTAGACAGGCACGTAAGGCTTGAGCCTGCATACTCTCAAGCGCTCTTATATTTGTGCGGCACATCCCATGAAGTACTGGCAGACTGTATCGCATAATGCCGACAAAAAGGGCGTTATATAGTTGGATAAGTGAAGCTACAGATGCACCCCACGTAGTTCCACTTATGAATCGTAAGAGCTGGGTAATGCTAATAAGCTTTCTTTTCAGTTGCCTAACCTGTGGTGTCCATGTTAAACCTTTGTCTAGGATAAGACCAAGAAATCTGTGAGTTTGGACATATGATATAGGGTGAGCATCAATAGTGAGCTGATGCCTAAGCGTACTTTTTCGTGTAAAAGCTATAGCTGCGGATTTTGATGGGCATAGCGATAGTCCACGGCATTTTAAGTAATTTGAAATTGTCTCAAGTGCTTTCTGTAAGCGAATCACATTAAATCGCTGCGTGATTGATGAGGTCCATATGCAGATATCATCCGCGTAAAGAGTTATTCTGACGTTTCGAGGAAGTTTGTTTACAAGTCCTATGAGGGTGATATTGAAAAGTGTGGGACTGAGAACACCACCCTGTGGCACGCCACAAGCAACAATATACCCAGCTGTTTTCCCTTCTGTCGTCACCATATGAACTGTTCTGTTTTCAAGATAGTCTAAAATCCACGCATACAGACGTCCTCCTATCCCGGCGTAGCAGAGTGCGTTGCGGATAGCCTTGTGGCTTACAGAGTCAAAAGCGCCCTTAATATCGAGAAACACTGCAGTGGTGATTCTTCGGGATTTCTTTTGTTTTTCGACGCTAGTTGTGAGGTCAATGATATTATCAAGAGAGTTGCGTCCGCGTCGGAAACCTGCCATAACTTCGGGGTATATGTCATATTGCTCTAGGTACCATTCAAGTCAGGTATGTATCATCCTTTCCATGATTTTTCCAACACAAGAGGACAAAGCAACTGGACGGAACGATGAAAGGTCTAGGGGGGATTTACCTTGCTTAAGGATGGGTATAATGCGCGACGTTTTCCAATCCCGGGGCACCTGGCCCGTTTCCCACGATGTGTTATACAGTTTCAAGAGCCTCACTTTGCCTATTGTACCCAGGTGAAATAAGGCCGCGTAAGTTATACCGTCGGGACCGGGAGAGGTTGTGAAACGTAGTCCAGAAAGGGCCTCGTCTAGTTCCCGTATATCGAACGGTGTGTCCATGTATGGACACGCTCGGAATGGATTGTTGGATTTAACAACTGAAATGGTCGAATTTCCGACGTTTTCCGTGAGCTTTTTACAGTACTCTTCAGCCACAGCTAGTTCCGAAAGGTCTAGTCGGAGGGCTAGTGCACGAAAAGGTTGACGCTGTTGTGGTGTCGTCCTTAGACCACGAGCAAGACTGTATATTCTAGAAAGAGGCTTACGAGGATCTAATGTTGCGCAATGATCCCTCCAATGACGTTGGGCTAGTTTATCTAGATGGCGTTTTATGCGTTTTTGTTGGCGTCTTACTTTACGAATATCTTCAGGATCATGTGTTTTTCTTGCCTTTCTTTCGTACCTCCTGCGAAGCGCACGAAGACGTTCGTATTCCGCGTCAATGGTAACAAACCTTCGGGGTAGTTTGTATGTCTTTGTGTGTTGTTTCACAAGTTCTCCGATACCGTGGTAGAAATCACCGTCGCTGCTAAATGAATCACATGCTTTTTCAAGATTAACTTTGAAAAGGCCCCAATCTGTCCGTCTGATTGTTGACGATATGGTATTGGATGTAAACCCCTTAAGAAGAGTGTACGTAGGCATATGGTCACTGCTATGGCATTCAATATCTGTAAACCATGTAAGAGAATTCGAAAGGCTCGAGCATGCAAATGTCAAATCTAAGCAGCTGCTTGTTGTGGCGCCCCGGAAAAAGGTTGGGCTTCCGTCATTCAAAGTAAAAAGACCATGCTGATGCGTGAGTGTCACAAGTGAGGTACCTCGGGCGGTTGTTTTTGTACTTCCCCATAAGGGGTGATGGGCATTAAAGTCCCCCGTTAAGATGTGTGGAGAGGGGGTGTTTTTAATAATAGAGCTAATACGCAGGGAGTCAAACTGCGTATTTGGCGGAATGTATCCTGCGATTAGGGTGAACATGTTGCGACCTTGTTTCACAGTTAAAGCGACATACTCGTTGGTGGCATCAGGAGTAAGGCTGTGGGAGATGTAGGTAAGGTCTTTACGAATCGCCACTAGAACTCTGCTTGGAGATCTACCTCGTATCGAGTGAAAAACCTCATAACCAGATAAACGAAAATTGTCGGCAATGTTTGATTCTGATAACGCTATAACCGGAAATTGGTACTTATACACAAATCGGCGAAAGTCGGAAAGACGGCTGCGAAGGCCCCTTGCATTCCACTGGAAATGGTTGCTTGGTATCGAATCTTATCTATTGATAGCATGTCCAGATTAGCAGCTGGGGCCTAGGCAGAGAGTAGGCTCAATCATAGTTAAAAGTGCGAGCATGATACCTTTGAAAGCTGTGTCTTGCTTGCTGATAAAAAAAAATGTTTTTTGCAGCTTGACAGATTAGAGGCAAAAGGACGTCAGTGGTTAGGTTGGTTTTTTCATTAAGCTGGATCGGCGATGACTCCGATCGTGGCTCCTTGAAAAGGGCTCTGGTGGGGATCGTAGGCTTGCCTTTCTTCATGGGGATAGTGAATAGTCTTGATATGTTGAATAATTTCCTATTGCGGACGCGTGTATGCGGCTTCTTGGTGCTTCCCGCGTTTATAATTCTCCCATAAGCGGAAGAATCATATTAAGCAATGATGTGATGTTTCGTGCCCATTGGGCGTCGACAGAAGATAATAGGCTATAGGCCATGCGAGCTGCTTTTTTGAGAAGCGGAATCCAGCTCTCCCATGCATTCCCTTTGATTGGCGGAGCGCCAGAGGTGGAAGTAGTCTTCCGCATTGGATCAGGAGTGACAGCCGCTGACGTTGACGGCCTTTCCTTTTCTCCCTTGGGTTCTGAAACTTGACTTTTTCGGACATTTGAGGGAGGGGCCCCCTTCGTGAGCTGTTGTTGATTCTTCTTTACAGCTGCAGCATAGTCATGGGAGCTTGGGTTCTGCTTATTAGATGTCTCATTTATTGCGTTCTGTGAGTGTAGAGGTCGTTGTTCAATTTCAGCCGTTTGTTTTGTTTCCGTCTTTTGTGAGACGGCGGATCTTGCGACGCGAAAGTCAACTGCGTGTTTGCGTGCGTAGCTGCGGGTCTCACTTTCTCTCTGCCATTTTGGGCAGAAAGAGGACGTGGCAGCGTGAGCTTGACTGCAGTTCGCGCATTTTTCTTGACCAGAACACGTGTCGTTGCTGTCGTGGGCTTCTCCACAGCGACTGCAGATAGGTGGGCGCTTGCAGTTGGCTTCGCGATGTCCATATCCACAACATTTGCGGCACTGAATTGGGCGTTCCTTGAACGGGGTCACCGGATGGCGAACGTGACCGAGATAAACAAAACTCGGCAAAGCTGCTTCGCTGAACGCTATCTTTACTATGGAACTTTGTCCAAGCCGTCGAATTCTCGCCACTCGGCCTTCTGGTGATCTCACATGCTGTTCGATTTCGGCATCAGAAAGTGAAGTGTTGACGTCTTTGATCACTCCTACTGCGAAATGCCGCGGAACGGGCTCGTACGCCCGAACTTTCAAGCCGCAGATCTGAGTGCAGGCAAGGAGCGCACGGGTCGTCTGGCCATTTCGAGTATCCACTGCGATCAGATTTAATCTGCTGTTGGGCCTAATCTCGTGGATGCATTCGGGACACATCTGTTCCAATGCAACAGATAGTTTTAGACTGCTGATCGCTGCGATCCTCTGGCTTTCAGCCGCTGGTACAAAAATTACAGTCAGGCCAACTGTCGTGGTAGGCGAGTTCGTAACTGTGTCTCCGCTTTTGCTTGAACTGGAGTTCTTTTTGCGCTTCTTGGATGTCTTGGCATCGTACCATTCACCTTGGTCGGTGTCGGCGATTTCCATGTCGCTAGTTAACATTTCAGCGTTGGGTGGAGATATGTGGGGTCCGTGGTCAGGAGCTCTAACTTCTGCCAGGTTAGTGACGGAGGCTTCGTTCTCTAGCTCGGCGATAGAGGATCCGCATGTTGAAGGAGGCATGCTGTAGCGCTCAGTTGGAGTCTTCTGACTTGCCGATAGCGAAGGGGTTGCGGTAGCCATGGCGAAGTGAAATCAGGGTTTATACCCCGAGCCGATCGAAAGCCACCCCTCCGACAGGCGGAGGAAGCCTTATTAATTGTTCGCTGAAGCTAGAGTTGTCTAAACTGGCGGTATTATAAATAGAAATAAGCACAAACAGATGAGCCGAGAAAATCACAGACCTGTTCGAAGCGCTTCGTCTTCCTTTCGTCGTTCCAATGATTGATTAAATGAGCAGATGGTTTGCTCATCATACATTGTGCTGCAGGCCTCTACGGTGGCTTTCTTCCGCTGAAGGCTTTTGAGTGGAAACCTTTCGAATAAGTTGAATCCACCACTTCAGCGGTAAGCGAGGCTCTACTGTGTGTAGTAATTTTTTTTAATTGTCCATCTTGCATGTTTGTTTTCGACGCGAGCCGAGAAACGTATCATTAGAACGCGCCAGGCTTATAGCAATGGTTAGTGGTTACTGAGCCTCCCAGTTCTCAGTTTTTTCGTAGTTTAGTGAGAATACTCGAAAATTGCCAAAAAGAAGTAGACTATTAGGTGTTCTGTTTTTCAGCGGCTTGGGTGCTGCCAACGGCTCAATCATTTAGTTCTATAAAATTAAAACGCGCACACACACACGCACACACACACACGCACGCACGCGCACGCACGCACACGCACACACATGCACTCGCCCACGTATGCACAGGTACACGGATGCACACTATTAGAAATATTTGCAAATAAAAATACCTTTTACTTAAGTATGCAG